GGCGGAGGAAAGTGTAAACTGCTGACGCAGATTTTGTTCCAAAACGCCTCTTGGTACCTATAATTGACAGCCTTTCAGTCTCCCATGGGTTGATGGACATGAAATCTGTAAATTGTACCACACCAACACTCTGCCTCCAGCGACTAAAGACAGACAAACATTGCAGGAGTTATTGTAAAAGTTATATCTGTAGAGTTTATAAATACAACTCAAACTTAATAGCATTTGTGTAAAGTTAAAGGCAGTGACAACTCCAATATTCTACACATAAGTAACACAGCTGTAAAAGTGTATTTGCCGGTTTTCTTTGTGTGTGTGTGTGTGTGTGTGTGTGTTGGTGCATATATAGATGTGTATGTGAGTGTGTGTGTGTGTGGTAGCCAACTCGAGAATGTGTTTTATATGCTAATTCTGTTAATGTGTATAAGCTGCTCCAGCCCGTTCTCATTAGGATTTCATTAGTCCCTTTTATGGAAATGCACAGCGACTATACTGCAGAGCATCGCCTGCACCAGCCAAGCTGCCTGGCAGTAAAGCTGAGCTGCTTCCTCACACTAAAGCCCAAGTTATACCTTCCACGTCAGAGAGTGCGCAAAGTTCCGCTGGGGTTAGTGTGATGTAAATTTTGATTCCAAACTTTTTTTTTAGCTTCATGAGCCACTGAAAAACTTTCACAGGAGGCCGTGACTTAGCTGTGCGCTACAAGTGGTAGTGTAGCGATCTACTGCACATGTGTGGAACGCATACTCCTCTGGTGTTGAGATTTCTTGTTTTAAATAAAGATAAAATGAAGTGAGATAAAAGAGAGTTAGGCAGGTGGAGTCTTGAAGCTTGCACACTTTTAGGCCAGGTGGATCACTACTTTATTAACTGACATTAATCTAGCAACATGTCAACAGCAAATACATAAATATTATTTTGTGAATCAGAGGAAAGGAATACTTTCTTTTTACTGAGAGAAGATTATTATCAATTGACCCATCGCTAAGACCCGCCCCTGGAACACAGAATATTATATA